ATCTAGATAACAAGTCTTGCTGAAGCTGAACCAGCATGGCCTCTGCAGTGTTAAATCCAGTGACACTAGCCTTTTAGAGAACATTAAGAATGTCAGCAGATACCTACAGTATAAAGATGCTCTGGTTGATGCTATTGTTTTGGAACCTCTACACACACGGAGCTTTCCTCAGGTGTACCAGGGACTTACACCTATGGAGTTAAGTGCCATCTGGGTAGCAGATCTCCTTCTTTGCTAGTAGAGCAGTACTTATAGCACATCCAATGGTCCTTCAGCCAGTATATTGGACCCTCAAATATACTGGGTATAATCTCCAATCTCAAGCATGATATAAGCACATTGGGAAAGTGGTACATACTGTTTTGTATTACGCTTTGTTTAGCGAAAGAATGCTACTACTCCCTGGACCTAGATATTATCTGTCCCCAAGGCTTCCAATTGCTGACCTGGATGTGGTAGGCAGAGCATCGTATCAAAATGCTGTAGCAATGGTCGAGGGATCCTTGCTGAACATGTCCCTGGTGCAATGTAAGTAAAGATACAGATTCCCCCTTTTGGGTCAGATTTATCAGCACTGTACTAGGACAAATATAAACCCAGTCTGACAGCACCTGGTGTTTCATATCTCAAGAGGAACCTCAAAATTACATCCCTCTTACAGAGCTTCCTCCCCCATTCCCCACACTCTTGCACATCGAGGTGGAAGTCAAAAGAAAGAAAATGGTTCACTTTCCAGAATATTCTGCCCAAAGCAACAACTTCATCTCAGTACATGGCAAGGGTGGTTCTGTAGGCTGATATTATCTATTTTCACATCTGTATGAAATAATTTCTTACTTGTTGAAGAAAGTCACAGGTACTTCCATGTGACCTTGGGGAAAGGTTGTAACATTTAACTCTCTAATTTCTCCCTGCGATTATATGATCCACAGTACAGTACTTGGGTTTCTGATGATGCAATCCCGTGGATTTAATAAAAAATGAACAATGGTAATTCAGAAATGCCTGATTTACAGCTCACTGTGGGTTAACCTAGGTATTTAAAAAACAAAGCAAATATTTACCATACTGAAGTAATGCAAAATATATGTTGTGGTAAGCGGCCACAGTCTGAGGAGGTTTGCGCTGTAAGAAACACAAGGTTTGGATAAAAGCACAATGTGACCACCAAAATCCCAATTCATCCAAAAACAGGTTTAATTTTGAATGTCTTAAAAATGTTGTTTTTCTCTTCTAGTCGTAGATGATAGTTTGCAAGCCCTCATAAATCAGATAGGGAACGGACTACTGAGTGAGGAGAGGCTCACACACATAAATATACCTCATGGGGCCTTTGCTTGCTTACTATAAAATAAAAATAAAAATGAACATCCTAAAGTTAAACAAGTCAGTGAAGTGCAAGAACAAAATATATGCTCCTCTGAATTGTGGATAGACATAATCTGCAGGGGGAAATGTACATTTACTAGGGGGAAATACATGAATGAATGCATTTTTGAAAAGAGGGCAAGGAAAGAGTATTGAAATGGGAATATACAAGGGCATTATTTTCTTTAAGCATAATGTAGCATCAGGATTTTCACAAAAAGCCTTCACTTTAATTACCAATACTCCAGTGTGTCTCTTCAGACACAGCTTTGCTCTCTGCATAATGGAATCAAACATTCTACACTTTTTTTTTCCAGTGGTCTGATTCTATTGTGTATATTCAAGTAAAAAACAACAGTGCATTTTTTAAATCAGCGAGTCTGTGTGGTCTTTCCTCTGTCTCCAGGAAATAAATCTCGCTATAACTTCAGTAGAGCAGAGGGTGGTTGACTATTGCTGCCCATTAGCATCAGGGCTTGCTTATTTTACACAGTGCCATTTTATGCATTTTACTCTTATTTAAAGTGTATACTACCAGTGGTATTATGTTCAGCCATATACAAGTATCCCAGATATAACATATTTCATTCTATCACTCCGGATTTAGTTGCATGCACCCCTTGAAAATGTCTGCTTAAGTGACAGTAATGATGGCACCAGGTAATATGGAAGGGACATTTTGCTGTGATGATCTCTTTTTATAGTTTTTATGAATATATTGAAATAAAAATAAGACCACCACCATCCCTTCTGTAAATTTTGTTTCTGCTATGTTGTCCTTTTCACTGAACAAACATATTTAGGATGCCACTCAGTGGCTCTGATTGAATATTTGTTTTAAACAAATACCACTATTACCCAACTAGCTGGAAAATCCACGAGTTAGGTTTTGATAGCAGAAGCGTTTCCCCACAATTTATGTGTGCATGCAAATCTATGGTGCTTTGGATATAGGCTAAAGTATTTGCTTTATATGTATTATTTTGTCTGAATACACGAAAGCTGGTTTGATTTGTATGTTTCCCCCTTATAGAATTGTTCCAAGGCTCTGTCAGAGATCACGTAGAGTAATTTTTCCCATCAATCTTTGCTGTGCAGCCATGCACGAATGCAGTAGGAAAAAGGGGGCAGAAATCAAATCACTTAATTGCAGCATTTTTCATCTACATCTTTTGTTTTATGGTGGTAAAGGCCCCGAAGTAGCCTACCATGATTCATGGCTGTCACCGCTGCCGTTAGCAGTTCAATCTTTCATTCCAGGCATTTTGGTAGTGAAAGTACCTACACAATTACTTTGATGAATATGACTTGTTTGTTTTTTCTCCATTTTTAGCAGAGAGGGGGATCTGCTTAATACAGACATTTAAATAAAATACTATTCATGGCTACCCTATCTGTACAGAATCCTGAAAGTTGTGCACCCAGAGATGCTGTTATATGTTATGAATTTAAGTTCATTGAGCCTAATGCATCTGAGCTCTTATTCTTGCACTTATACAATAGCAAGATCAGGAAATAACCCTCTTAGAAAGAAAAACAACAACAACTCACCTTTCAAATCTCTGAGGCTGTGACGATTTTCTTCTTTCCTTCAATATATTTTTCATTGCTTCTCCCTCTACCCCCTGGAATATTCCCAAACATTATATGATGAAAACATTAGAGAAGTCTGCATATGTACATCTGATCAGGAAGTTAGCATGAATGTATGTGTGTGTGTGTGTGTGTGTGTGTGTGTGTATGTATGCAAACATTTTCAGAAATTGCTAAAGATAGTTTTATTTTGGGAGAGATGCTAGTAAGTTCAGCCAGAGTTCTGAGACCAAAATGAGTAAGGTTTTTGAAAACCTCTTATTCTTCCTACTGTGTCAGCGTGAAACACGTCCTCTTTAAGGAAGGCATGTGATTTCATTTCTTCATTAGTATACTTTGTGGTCAATTGGTAGTATGACATACAGTTTAGCAGTGCACAAAGTGATATGAAGGGAAAAAGTCTTGTGCAAAGCAATTTTAAGTATCTTTAGTTAGAAGTAAGCCCTGTGAGTTCAATGGGCTTTACTCACCAGTAAGGTTAAAAAAAAGGTAAAGGACCCCTGGATGGTCAAGTTCAGTCAAAGGTGACTATGGGGTGTGGCGCTCATCTTGCTTTCAAGCCAAGGGAGCCGGCTTTTGCTAACTGATAGTGTATTTAGCACTACAGACTAATTTTGCAATCCTGCATACAATTAACAGGATATAAATTCTATTGAACTCAGTGGGACATACCTCTGAGTAAACATTCATAGGAGTACCCTGTAGGACTGCAGCCCTATCCTCATTTACCTCAGAGTAAATGGGACATTTCTTCGTGAACATGCATTTGATTGCTCTGCATGGCAGTAACCCACTCTGTTACATCTGTATTCTGATGGGACTATTTTACCATGGCCTGATGGAAAAGTGAATGCTTTATCTCAGGGGTGGGAATTTGTGGTCCTCCAGATATTGTTTGATTCCCAACTCCCAGCTAGCCTGGTCAATGGTCATGTGAGATGGTAGCTGTAATCACACACCATCTGGAAGGCCACAGGTCTTCCACCCCTGCCTTTAAGTGTTCAGCAAAATTCTGCAATCTAAAAATTAGAGATGTGACCCAGCCCACTCTGAGCAAAGGAACAGGAAAAAGTATTCATTGAGCCCTATGCTGAGGTAAATGCACGAGGGGCTCAATTTCTACCACAAAATGTACAGGGTGTTTGTTGTTTGTGGTAGTCTCTTTCCATCCCTGGCAATTGTTGACATAGCTCAGTCTCAGATGCAATAAATCTATATACAGCTGAGTCCAGAGTACCCATGGGCAGAATGTTGCCTATAAAATTTCCCCACTGGAATAAAGGATGGAGGTGACTGAACCAGGTTCCCATTCGCCCCCACTTCCAGCTACTCTGGAAGGTCAGGAATGGTGTGGGAAGTGGCCCCCTTCTTCCAGCAGTTCCTTATGTGAATTGAATGAGCCTTGCTGTCTATAGAAGGGCAAGTCTGGGCCCAACTCTAGGTCTACATCTGGAGCAAATACAGGTCTTTGGCAGGGGCTCCTAGCTGTTCAATGGAAGGAACCAATCCATGCACAAGTAGTCAAATTACTCTAAAGTAAGGATTGGCAAATCTGTTAATTTTTGTTTCTTTCAGTTTCTCATTTTCCTAATCTTAAACCCAGTTCCCCATGATTCCACATCAGTTTGTGATTTTTTTGGGGGGGGGGAGTCCTCGTGAAAATTCATATTTCCTGTGAAATTTTCCTAATATACATGTGGTGTATGGAATTTTGTCTAATTTTAACATTTTTGCAAAGTGACTTACCCTAATGCAATGCATTTTTGTATGCCATTTTCATGAATATCTGCATTTTTATGCAGTTATTTGACTGAAGAACTACACTGAAAAATTCAGAGAAGTGCACATTTCAAAAGATGGTCATGTTTTGGTTTGCATGTTGTTTGAGAAAGGTAGGTTCACCTTAACTGAATCTCTCCTCCATCTCTAGTATCACCTTAGCAGTATGGAGCTGTTTTCTTTGCTTCTTCCAGCACTACTAAGCCATTGAAATGGATGCAGGCTGCAGCCATTGGATGCAGCCATTGAAATGGATCCACATGGACTTCCGGGTCAGCGCCATTGGTGAATGGCGGAGTTCCTCCGATTGGAGGAACGGGCTCCGTGGAAACTGGGTCTTCCCGCTGGGCGAAGGTGGGGACCCGCTAGAAATCCCAGGCAGAGGAAGCCTGGGAACGTGGGGTTCGGCAGGGCACCAGAAGCGCCCCCCTACTCGCGGGGAATCCCATTTAGGGGCTCCGGAGCGAAGTGGGGTGAGAAGTGCGGTGCTACGAACTGACTGCTACTTTCACGGAGTGAAGCCGCACAGCCATTGCCAGAGAGTGCTGACTTTTTCCTGTGGACAATTGGACTTAAAACAAGTACCCGTGAGTAGAAACGGAAAATTGGATCAAGAAATTGCTTAATTTGGTATCGAAGTGGGAAGGTGCAAAACAGGAAGTCCGCCTTCCGCTTTTTGTATATAGACTAAAGCAAAAATTTTGTAAGCTAAAGCCGGGAAAGCTGTCAAAAAAGACTAAATTTCCTTCCTTCAGAATCACTGAAACCCCCCTTGGAAGCAGGAGAAAAGGGGGGGGACTCTGTTTAACCCTAGCAGGGGAGGGAGTGAAGAAGGATAAGTTTCCACCGTCTCTAACCTGGGAACGGGGTGTCAGAGACAGAAACTGTTAGAGAGGTTCATTGACTGTGAATGGAATATTTTGACAGATAGCTAATGAAGAGAAACAAGTTGATTCTAATGTTGCCTTTTGCATTTTAAAGAAACAAAATATCTGAAAAACATCTGAAATATCTGAAAAATGAAAGTAACTTTCCTTTGTCTTTTAAAAAAAAATGGATACAAATAGAAATTGTCTCCTCTAGAGGGAGCTTGTTAAATTGTTGCTGCAGTATACTTGAGGACCCAACATCTGTGAGATTAAGATCGTGGGAACAGTTTTTTCTGACCTTGACCAAAGATGAGCTGGGAGGAAGACTGGGTGCTTGCTTTATGCAAGACAAATGCCTTGCTGGAACAGATGCATGAGAAGATGGACTTGATGAATGAGAAAATGGATTTGACTGTCGTGGTTAATAACTGTGGACAAACAGGGAACATTGATACAGAAATCATCCAGGAACCAACCTATGAATCTGTACTGACTGGGCAAGTGCAGATGACAATGGAGGAGGATGCGGCTGCACCTCAAATAATACAAATGGAGAGACCCGAGACCCTACAGGAGCATAAGCCGCTGTTATTGAAGATTGAAGTTGGAGTGGGCCAGGGGGAGTTTGGAGATGAGGAGGTTCCTAACCTTGGAGAGATCTTGAAATATGATTTTAAATACTTTTTGGATTATATCGAGGACTGTGGGGAGTGGGACTGTGGGGAATGGGCGAGCTGGATGAAGGGAGATGGAGACAATTTTGGGTTGGAATCCCCCAGAGACCTACTCCTCAATGAGAAAGGAAAGAAATTAAGACAGAGACCAACAAAAGACAAGGAAAAGGGCAAGTACAAATAAGAAGAAGAACTGCAGAAGGGACATGGAAGAGACTTAAGGGCCTCGGACATAAGGCTTCCAGGTTGATGGACTAGATGGAATGGACAGTAAGGACTGACACGATCCGAGACCAGGAAGAAGAGACACTGGATGATGATTGGAAGAAAATTTATAATGGAAATTTTTTATTTTAGAATCAGCTTAATGAATATTAGGGAAAATGTTGGAATGAAACTATATGACTCTAGCAGAAATGATATCAGGAGCTATGTATATTTGAAAACTAAGATTTAAGTTTTAAGGTATTTTGGGGTAAGATAAGGTTAAATAAATTAAGGTAATTTGAATAACAGAATATGGGGAAAGATGGAAAGGATTTGTTGAGTTAACTATTAGGTTAAATTGTTAAGATAAATTTTTTTTAACAAAAATTGAGAAAGATGGAAAGAATTTGCTGAAATAATTAATTAAACTAGAATAGAAAAAGGAAGGTGTGAGGAGGTCAACGAAACAAGCAAATGGAAATTATAGATATGCAATTTGGGATTTGTGTTTTTTCTTTTTTCTTCTTTTTTTTGCTGTATTGTATTGGTTTTTATATTTTGCATTTTTCTCTTTTCTTTTTGTATTGTAGTGTTGTTTTTTATTTTTTATTTTTTTTGTAATTCTGAAATTATTAATAAATATTATTTTTTTAAAAATGAAATGGATCCACATGATGCAGGAGTCATTGAGCAACTTGGCCAGTCTGTCTTACTCAAACTAACCTACATTACAGGATTTTATTGAGGACAAAATGGGGTGGGGGCTGTATGCTACCTAGAGCTCCTTAGAAGGAAGGTGGGATTTAAATATGATAAAAGAAAAAATAAAGCATTCTCCATAGTGCATGCAAGGAGTTGCGCGTGGGTGACCAATGGCTTACTCAAGTTCCCTTAAGTTAGGTCTGGAAAGTTCACAGCACATAGCCTGGGTGCTCTTCCTCTCCACAGTTATATTGTGTATTTTTATGTAAATAAAAGCAATGATATGACATTCTATTTACATAGTAGGTGGTATGTTACTTTAACATTTGAGAAGGGAGATTTGATAATTTTATAGCAAGTTTCTTTCCCACAACTTTACTGCCTGCTTAATGCTAGGGAGTCTGCTTGCTACTGTTTTGCCTCATCATCAGTATGTGATATGGAATAATGATGGAGGTTTTTCGGTGCTGATGAAAAGCTTTAGCAACAAGGATTGGCGGGGGGAGGGATTGGGAGAGGGAACGGGAAATGGCAGCAAATCTGATTGAATGTGAACATTTCAGGTTTGAAAATATGTGCTACCTATGAAAACGAGCTATCGACTAACTCTGAAAGAAATGTTATATGGGCTTAATGTTCATCTTCATTCCCACTATAATGAGAAGAATTAGGCTGGCCTCCATATGTGGAATATTTATTTTAGCAATACAAGAAAACGTATTTCCCTAATTTTTTTTTCTGTATGCACAGGGCCTTAAATTTTACAGATGTGATTAATGCTTTAATTTGCTGTTCTAGCTGGCTACAAGTTTACCATACAATATAAATTACTTACAGAGAAATTTGCTTATATGGAAGCCTAATTCATATGCTCTTTAACCACCATGTGTGGTAACAGTGGAAGAACTGAGCACTTGGGCAATTGGTTTGAAAAATAAGAAAACATTTGAGGCATTTTTTCAGCAGTCGAAACTGCAGCATTTCTGCAGTCAACATATTCTGTGTAATTAGTGTTTGTTTTAACAGGGATCAGTGAATGGGATATCAGTCCTAAGCTGTGGAGCGAAATCAGAGATAAATGATTTCAATTGGTGGGTGTTTTCTTTATTAATTTATATTGCCAGTATACAGTGCTTGGTTATAGATCTCATTTACATAATGAATTAAGGTCAGTTAAAGGATTTCAGACACAATGGTTACAGGAATTTATACATAACAACTATCAAATGTAATGGATTACTGTTGGTTTTTTTACAAAGGGTGACTGGGTGTGTCAAACATTACCCCATTTATAAAATCAATGTGTATTCTGTCATTGTTTAAACTGGAGGCAGAATTCTGTGTAAGCATGCAAAGATCTGAAATGCTAATATTCTATTTTTAACTCTGTTTTTTCAGTTCTTCTCTAAATGAGCAATCCAATAGATTGCAGTTGTCCTATTCAAGAATATAGGTGATGGTGGCCCTGATGCAGTTTCCCTAATCTTGAAACACACACAGGAGAACAAACAGGTTTTGCTTGAAATAGAGGTAAGAGAAGTGCCATTAAATAATTTCTTTCTTTGTTATCTTCCACTTAAATATATACAAGTCAGATGGGCACCTAGAATGTTCAGAAATAGTGATAACTTCCAGAGGTGTGACTGCAGCCAAAACAATGGTCTTGTGGTGCCTTAAACACACTTTCATGCAGGAAAGCCCACTTCCTCAGAGAGTAGGGAAGACTCAGTCCATTGTAGGTTCCATTTCTGTGACACTTGTGTGTGGCATTACTTACCCTTGTGAAACCAGTGCTGTTCAAGTGAGTAATTGTCATGGGGCTGCCAGAGAATGCTGGGGCGGAGGAGGAACATTCAGAGGGAGGTGGACAGGAAGTGACGGATGGGGAAGGGGGAGAGAGCCAGGAGGTGGAAATGCTCTTTGATGCAGAAACAGAGCCCCAGCACCGCACAGGAAGTTCTGGCACCGATGGTGAGGCAGTGCCTATTCTGTCTGCCCAGGAGAGGGAGAGTTAAAGAGGAGGGGGGAGAGGCGTCACAGGAAACTTCCCTACCTTTTCTGTTGGAGGAGAAGCCGATGAAAGCCACTCCCAGAATCTGAACCGGAGGATTCAGATGCATGATTGTAATATGCTGCCTGTACATACGTAAAATAAAGAACTGTAAATATCTCTGAGTGAGCAGAGGTGCTTATTGCGAAGAGCATACACAAGCCATCACAGTAATGAGGTGTATAAGTGTCTCCCCTTGATCTTTTTTAAGGTGACATTTCATTTTTAAGGAGTGTCTTCTCTCATACAAGTCGTAGGTCTGCCATATTCTGCATCCCATCCTTTGTGGAGGGATACAGGAATGTGCCCATACTTAGAAAGCCTTCCCTTTGAAATGTTTTCTTTGTGCCAGCCCCCAGTCCCAGATAATTTTTCATCACCAGACCATAATCTTGACTTTTCAGAAACTTTTCCTGTGGGATTATCTATGTGACTTTTAATGGCTCCTTTATTTTTAAGTATGGGCTTTGATCCTTAGGACTAAACAACATGATATGTTAGCTCTGTACTTGTGTCCATAAGGGCAGTCCCCCTACCCACCTTTTACTCAATTTGCCATTTAAATTCAGACAAGTCAATGCAAGCAGCGTTTTCTGTCTTCTCTTCTCCTCTGAAACATCCCCCTCCCAAAGAAAATTATATTTGGAGCATCAGTGATCCTCCTGATTAATGGGGCATGAGGGCGTGGGAGACAGTTGGGGTAAAGGGGAAATAACCAAAAATCAGCACTGGATCCTAAAATAAGTTCATTTATGAAGGTTCATGGAAAGAAGGTTTCCCCCTACTCATCCCATATTGTTTGAGGGGCCCACCAGAACCCTAGACAGATTTGCGGGGGATTCCAGATAGTGTTAGGGAAATAGGAAACATTCCTTCACATGCTTCCTTAAATTAACAAACCATAAGATCCAACAGCTGGAATTTTCAGATGCCTTTTTAAATGAGGAACTGGAATAATTTTATTGCAAGTTGTGACTGTATGAGAACTGTGGAAAATGCAGCAAATAAATGCATAAACAAATAAATGTGGCCCCATCATTATTCTGGTGCGATATTGTGATGTGATATTCATATTATTCATATTTTCTTGTGACTACTAGCTGGTTTCAATTAAAAGAAACATTATTAACTAATGAAACAGGGGGTGCATGGCATCATATTGCAATCAGTTTCATTTGTGAAAATAGCACCCCCTGTTTTAAATAGGACCACAAGTGCCAACACAAAATAAATGTTTCAGCTAGTTAAGTGGCATAGGATGACAGGTCCCTTTCTGAACCCTTCAGCCATGTAACCCTAATGATGTCAGGAGGAATAACTCCTAATGACCAAGCATTGCAGTGGTGTTTGCAATAAAATTCCCTACTCTAATAGGAAAAGATTCTGGCTGACTCAGTTTATTGGCAATAATGCTGTGGGCAGGATTATTCCAGAGCTCTTGGTGCCAAGGAAGTCATATAACAGAGAAAGTGAATTTGTTAAATTACTTTCCAAATTTATAAAATTCCCGGGCACTTGTAAACTTAATAGCAGTATACTTTTACAGTATCAGTTTTCTGTGACACAATTTCTTTAAAAAAGGAAAGAAAGAAGCCATGCTGTTGATCTGTGTTTTCTGTCAGCTTAACTTGAAACAACGTTTCTTTCCCTTTTCTCCAAATCACTGTTGTCAATACTGTGGCTTAGATTGGATGTAACAAGAAACCATTGTTCACGCTAAACATCTCCCCACAGTGGAAACCCTTGTGTGCATAGCCTCATCCCTTCCCCAGTTGGAACATTTGCTAAAACATCTAAATAGGACTAGAGTCTGGCTTTCATTTGATTGGCATTGTCTTCCTCTTGACTCTATGGAAGTGTTTTGTTTAACACAACAGTAAATAAATTTGTTCAGTTTATTGAAACTCAGTAATAACATTCCTCTTAAAATCTTAAGATGGTATGGCTAATAAAGCATGTTGATAGAAAACCAATTATGTGGCATTCCATGTGTGAAGTAGATTAATAGAATGTTTCTTCAACTTTAAAAGTGCAAGAAAGCTATTAAATTTGTGGTGTATGTTATCCATAAAATAATTATTTCCACATGAGAATCTACATTGTCTAATGGTATCTGCTTATAGAGAACAGTATGATAGAGTCTTTAATGAGGTATCACTTTTGTCTTGATTAGTCACATTAACACCATATATTACTTCTGAATAACACACAATTTTTTTCCCTTATAACTTGTAGTCACATTTATTACTCACCACTCCTTTTGTCTTTTTTCCTTCTCTGTCATATTTATTTTCAGGAAGTTCTCTTGTACAGTTTACACCAAAGTATATAGGGACACATCCTAATGGACTGTGGCCCAATAACGTGCTAAGCATGTACAATAATAAAATACACACCAATTTTCAAAACACAATCCCTTTTAACAAATGGAAAATAGGTGCCCAGGAATCTTCCTTGGATTAAAATGGTTTCCTCTCTTTGTAGTCTTCTCCACATCTTGTCCGCTGGGAGCAACATAAGCTCAATTTGTCAGCAGAATTATATCCTATTTCCAGAGGGGGCAATCCTCACCTCCCTCAAGTCAGCATTAAAATTCTTAATCATTTTCACGAATCTGGAGTTCACCTAGCATGTTTCAGGTTATTTTCAGCTGCCAGACATTACATAATCAGAAACTTCCTTGATTTTTTTAATGGCTCTGTTCAAAGAGTTGCCCAAAATAAGAAAGTCATTGTTCTGAAATAATGTGCAGGGAGAAACTGTAAGTACCGGTAGTTGCCTCCAATGGTTTATAACAGGCATGGCCAAACTTGGCCCTCCAGCTGTTTTGGGATTCCAACTTCCATTATCCCTAGTTAACAGGACCAGTGGTCAGGGATGATGGGAACTGTAGTC